CCACCCGCCGGGTGGGCCCAGCGGTTTCCCCGCTGCCCTACCATTGTCATCGCTATTGCCATTCGGTTGCCACTACCGTCTCTGCCATTGATGGCGATAGTCTTACTAGCCTATTTTTAGCAACTTTTAATCCCCGAGGACATCTTTAGTATTTTGGACTCAAAGTTGTTATATTCAAATGAATATTGAGGAGACCTTTTTGGGTCACGAGTCCTGTGAGAAGACCAATGCTAACACCTAAGAAACAACTCCATTTCACAGTTCTCTTAAGACCAGTATTTTACGTCACATAATTTACCAAAAATTAAGGATACATTTTCATCTTCTATGACCATAATATCTGAAAATAATGGGACAACTGATACGTGCTCAAAAGTTATTTTAATCATGCATGAGTCCAGGAGCATTTTAAACAAGGACCAACTTAAAATATGAATTCATGATCATCCAAACTCCAATTTCATCAAACTTGGCATTAAATTAAGCTCCTCAACAAGTCGAAACCAATGACTCTATATTTGGTCTAATCTAGGTCTATTTAAGCTCAAATCAAGTCTTCTAAGTTCAACTAGAGGCTTTGGACGATAGATTGAATAGTCAATTGGATTCCAAATTTGACGAGCTATAGTCAAATAGAGTGTCTCTATGAGGAAGATACAAGAAGCTTAAGACTACACAATTCTGATATCACTAAGGCACTTAAATATTCATAAAATATTGATTAATTAAGGGAATAATTATGGGTCGTCTGATCATGCAGATATCACCCCAAAATCCTTAAATTGATCCTCACTCTCTTCATGAAGGGGATTATAAAGCTGAAAAAGAAAGCTAAGGGAGCTCCATGCTCGTAGTAGTTCTTGAGGTCTACCACCACGAGAACGTTGTCAACTTGTTGTCGCCACTGCTGGACCACCATCGCTGATGGTTGTCCATTTTTGTTGTTGGGCCACGATTTCCCACCCACACAATTCAAGTTGTTGTCACCACCGGACCACCATTGCCCAACCACCATCATTTGGTTGTTGCCGCCATCAGATTGTCGTCATAGCCACATGACCACCGCTAGACCGCCATCGATCAAATAATACCATCTAATTGCCATTGTAAGACAACTACTGCCCAACTACTGTTGTCTAGTCGTCGCCACCGCCGAGCCACTGCTAGTCCACTGTCACAATTTCCTTACTACCACAGTCCGACTGCTGCTGCTGCCAGAGCACTACTGTTGACGTCAGACCGCCTCCATCATTGTCAGACTATCATCATTGCCACCACTATAGCTCTACTAACTGACCATCACCATCGTCGCTGCTATCATTAATGCTAGCATTAGACTTTCTGGCACTTGATCTATATCATCACCTTTCTTTACTACAGTCAGGCACCACCACTTGCTCAAAATTTTCTTTCACTTCCTCATCTAAAGTCACATCCCACTTATTATAATATTGCTTCTAACTATTCAAGGGCAGATAAAATTTTGTAACATATTTCAACATAGTTGAATCATTTTAATTAGGATAAGCCAAGTGATTTTTGCATCTTCGAGTTTTCGATATAAATACTTATGTTATCTTTTTTGTCAATTTATTTTTACATTTGTATATGTTATATCTTCGTACAACACTAAGACATTAATATATCACTCCGAGATTTGACTAGCACACAACAATTATTGTTGAGACTTATAGTTGGAAAATCTTTTTTCTTGCTTCTCTCAAGAACTCATTGATTCTATAAGTAGCATTCCTCACTCACATGGAGGAGGTGGAAGGCATTCTCTAGAAATAACATATTTTTACTGTTCTTCCACCGTCGTTGGATGGTTCAGACTTATTTGGCATAAAAAACCTATGACTTGCTTTTATTTATGCAATCATTGTTAGCATTAAACGATGCTCTTAACACTAATTCAAAGTAATTATGTGTTTTATCACGCTGATTATGAATCTTCCAGTCATTTCTTCTTTACATGCTCAATTTCGAGCTCTATTCTGAAATGTTTGCTGGCTTGGACTTCAATTGTTCTAGTTATTACTTATCTTTTACAGATATTTTGTCTTCTCTCTATTGATTCTATGGTCTATCATACATGAAGAGAGCAAAACAATAGAAAATTTGTGGGTATCATTGCTAGCATTTTTATTCTTTTATTTAATTAAGATGACAATCTGGGCTACATTATATGGAAAAGAAAATAAGACTAGACCAATGTCACATAATCCATTATTTCTTTTAATTGAAATATGTTTTTGAGGACCTTCTTATCAACTACCGATCACATTTGATTATTTTCTGGCATATTTTGTCGAAAGAGTGACTGTTGATGACAATATTTGGTTTTCCCTCCCTTACTAGTTATGCCTCTCTCGTTTTTTTTGCTTGAATTTGGATAAATTTTTGAAGGGGTTATGATGAAATCCGGTGCAACTTAGGCTTGACGTTCTATCAATTGATTGCCTTCTTGATTTTTATTTTTTCATCACAAGTTTGATTGTTATCTGTTGCATAGCTGCTCGATTTTATGTCTATTAATTTTGATTGTGTTTGTTTGTTGCAATTTTCTATTGGATCGTTATGTTCTGTGTTCTTCATATATTTCTTGTAAGGGTGTGTATTATTCGGTCAAAATCGAAAAATAGAACTTATCTGATCAAGCTAGGCTGGTTTTAAGTCCAGATTTTGGTTTTTAAGACTTTAATATTATGTTTTTATATTTCGTTCGCTTTTAATTTTCATTTAATTGAACAAAACGACAAGCCGAAATTTTATTAAAATTTTTTATTATATTTAATTTCATGTTGAATATATTAAGAAAATAAAAATTTTTATTATATGCAATATTTGGTTGAAATAAATAAAAATTTCAGGAAATTAAATCGATATTATGTAGATAAAATATGTAATTCATAATGCTTGTTCTTAACTAAATTGGAATACATAATTAATTTTTGATTTGTTCATTGCCGAACTGTTTACACCAAATTAAATTTCAATTCGGTTAGCTCGATTTTATCAAAATTTAGATTGGCTTGATTTTAACAAATGCTTGCCTCTAATTTTTTATTTTTAAATACTTATGCTAGCTTTAATTATAATTTTTTGGGGTAATTATTATTTACAAATCAACCATACTATTATTGTATTTATGACTTTTATTTATTTAAGAATAATTTTATATTTTAATTTTATTGAGGTGTTATTGAAATGTTATTGACGTTTTCTTATCATTTTTTAGATATGACAAAGACTTTATTAGAGCATGCCGTCGAGAGAGCCATGAACTAGTGGCCAGAATTTGGTCGTTCAGTACAAGTTGCTTTAGCTTGAAGCCAACGAAACCTAAGAGAGAGAAAATTCGTCACCCCTGACAAAAATCAAGCCCATCCCCATGAGCAAGACATCAAGTGACGGCTTTACAAACGTCGCCTTCTCAAACTTCTATATATCTCCCTGCCTCCCTTCTCCGCCCAAAGCCACAGAAACACATGGGCTCCTGCTTCTCCTCCTCCCCCTCCTCCACCGCCTCCTCCACCAACATCCGCCCATCCACTGCCAAAGTGATCAACATCGACGGCTCCCTCATCGAATTCTCTCGGCCGGTTAAAGTATCCCAGGTTCTCGGCCAAAACCAAACCTCCTCCTTTCTCTGCAACGCCGACGGCATCTTCTACGGTCAATTCGTTCAAGCATTGCACCCCGACCGGCTCATTGAACCGGCCCAGCTCTACTTCGTGCTTCCGGCAGCGAAGCTCGAATATCGCCTCACGGTGGCGGATATGGTGGCGTTGGCCGTCAGCGCTAGCTCTGCTTTCGCCGCTGCGGGATCGGTGAAGACGGCGAGGAGCGGAGGAAGAAATAGGAGGAGGAGAAGTGCTGTTGAGGTTATGCCGATTATAGAAAAAATGGATTTTGATTGCTATAGGAGGATCAGTGAAGTTAGTGTTGGGAGTTGGAGATATGATTTGGGAGAGAAGAAGAGTTTTGGGTTTTAGGGGATTGAAAGCTTCCATGCAGATTTTAGTGCGATTGAAGATGCTTGTTTTGTTGTGTGGTTAATTAATATGTACAGTTATTCCTTGCTGTTGTCTTGTAAAATTCATTGTTGGAATTGTGTTTTTTCAGACTTATTGAGGTTTTCAGAATAATGTTCAATCAATAAATAAGGGATGTGAGTAGAGAGAATATTGCGTCATCTTGATTACAAACTTAAATCATACTATGCTAGTGTGTAGTGCTGTCAATTTGGCTCGTTGTTCGTGAATAACTCGTGTTTTGCTCGTTTTTTAAGCCTAACGAGCCGAACACGAACAAATTTTTAAGCTCGAAATGTAAACGAGTCGAATACGAACAACATTTTGTTCGCTCGTGTTTGACTCGAAATGGTTCGAAAAAAAAATTGTATAACTTTTTATATAACAATATATTACATATATTATTTATATAATAATATATTATATATATTTATGTCTAAGTTTAAATCATAACACCTCATGTGACAATGTGGTTAATATCTTCTTTTGTATATATTTGATCCAGGTTCGAATCCCACACTTTACATCTATTTTTCTCAATTTTAGTTTAACGAGTCAATTTCGAGCCGAACATGAACACACTGTTCACGAGCCGATTTCGAACACGAGCTATTTTGAACGAGCCGAATAGGAGCCCAGCCTGAGCTCGCTCAAGCTCGGGTCGTTTGCAGCCCTACTAGTGTGCAAGCGGTGCGACGTCATCGTTCGAACAACCAGTGGTGCGGACGTAATAGTTTACGTTTGAGTGAGTGAGATTATGATGATCACGTTATTGGCGTGTATTTAAATGTACTCATACTTAATAATTAATAATTAATAATTGATGAGATGATACTGATTATACACCTCTTTTTTAATTATGTAAATAGCTTAAGCATATTGATGAGTTAACTTATGTATTATTGAGTTGAATAAAAATCAAATATATTCAACAATTTAAAGTTGATAAATGTTGAATATTTTTAGAATATAAGGTCTCGTATCTTCCGTGAGTACATGCAACTCTTGAACTGCCTTATATTTAGGTAGAATATGGACAAAAAGTAGATAAATATGATGATTAGGAGAATATCCGGTCTAACTAATAAGTTAGAAACCCCGTCATCAGGGAAAAAACGGCTTCGAGGAGGTTTCTCGAATTGCAATGTTTTCTTTTAGAGC